GCAGGGGAGGTAGCAAGCTACTCGATCCACTCGGTGAAGGAAGTAGGGATGAAGCCGCGCTGGCCCTGGTCCTGCGGAGGGCCCCAGCCAGGGGGGGTGAGAGGGCAGGGGCGCATATTAGTGGCCAGCAAGGGCGGGGCATCTTCCAGGAGGCGGACAGGGAGAGCACGAACATTGGACGCCGAGAGCCAGCCATTGTCGAAGAACTCGGTGACATTCAGGATCTGGCCCTCGGTGAAGGAGAGCTCGGTCTCATTGCTGCCAACAAAGTCATACAGGCCGCGGACCTGCTCCCGGGGAGGCGAGACGGGCATGTCAGGATGGAGCACCGGCGCGGAGAGGGCCGCGGGGGTGCAGCCAAGCGCGGGAAGCCCGGCCGGCCGATCCGGGCGAGGGGGAAGATGGACAAGCGGCCGACACCAGCCTACGCACCTTCCAGGCGCCGACCTTGCGACTCGGGGTGGGCTCGCTCTCGCCGCGGAACATGCGCTCCGACGGCCGGTACGCGAAGTCGCGGATGACCACCCCGGGGATCTTCAGCGGGTGCCGGACCACGAAAGACACCGACCGGGGGAGGTCTGCCACGGGTGGCCGGGGAGGAGGACCGTCAGCAGGGGGGAAGGAACTCGCGAGAGCCGGGCAAAAAGCACGGCCTGGGCCGGCCCGGTGAGATGCCGCGAAACGCACTCAGCTCGGAGGAGTCCGACACGTCATAGATAATGCAGTGGGGGTCAGCCTGGGGCGAGGCGGCGGACGGCGCCTCGGTGGACATCGGAGGTGTGGGCCGGGAGGAGAGGACAGACGAGGGGCACAGAGCGCGGGGAGTGGAAGGGGCGGCGTGGGGGAGGCAAGTGCAGGGGGTATGTGGGAAGAAGGGCGGGAGGGAGGGGGGCTGGCGAGATCCACAGGGCCGGCAAGTCGTCTTGGCAGCTCATTTTGAGACCGGCCGGGTCGTGAGCATCGCCCGGGAGGCCCCGCGCGAAGGGGGTCCGCCCTCGCACAAACACAAACACAAACACAGACATGATCATGGACAAGGCCAGGAATGCGGACATGAGGCTGCAAACACAGAGTGGCACACACGCGCGCGCACACATGCGGCACAGAGGCCGCCCCCCGGCCGCCGGGCGCCCGGCCCGCCCCCCCCCCCCCCCGAGATGTGGAAGAGGGAGACACATGCTGATCCCCACCTTCCCCCCCCCCCTGGGGCGGCCCGAACCTGGCTCCTAGCCCCCTGACCCCGGCGGCCAGGGGCTGCTGTGTGATGCAGGCAACGGGCCATCACTTCCGGCGCGCTCAGCCCGCCGCATCTCGGGTTCCGCCGTCAGGAGCCCTGCGCGGCCTAGAGGGATGTCATGTGATTTGACAGCGGTGGTTCTGGTGGATAAGAAGGTGTATTCGGACGGGAAAAAAAACACACACACAAACAAGGAGGGGGGGGGGCGGCGGGGGGGGACGCCATCCGGCGCCACGGGAGCGGGAGAAGGGGCGGCGCATGCTTTCGGTGCGGCTGTGCGCGCGGGCGCCGAGAACACGGGGAGAGGCGCGGAAGGATGGTAGGGCCTCTCTCACTCTGGGCCGCGGCGCATGAGCGCGGGTACGGCCGCCACGGCGCCATGCTGTGTTGCATGCGCACATGCTGCCTATGCCTCTCTCTCTCTCTCTCGCTCTCGCTCTCGCCCGCACGAGGCGCTGAGGAGGGCGGCGAGACGGAGCCGGGACACGGAGGGGCATGGGGAGGAGATACACAGGACGGGGTGGGAGGCGCGGGGTGACATATTCGCGCGCACGCGCGTTCTCCCGGCCCCCCACAGGCGCACGCACACTCACCGGCATCGAACACGGCTGCTCAAAAGGGAGGCGGCTGTACCCCACTGCCGGGGGCCGGGGCCACACCAGCACCTCCACCAGTGCCCCCGGAAAGGAGCAGCGACGGGTCCTCGAAGATGACTGCGAGCGAGGCCAGCTGGCCCAGGGGCGACTGATGGTTGAAGGCCAGCGTGTCGGTGGGCGCCGTCGACTGCTGCTGCTGCTGCTGCTGCTGCTGCTGCTGCTGCTGCTGCTGCTGCTGCTGCTGCTGCTGCTGGTGCTGGTGCTGGCGGGGGTCTGGCTCTTCGGGCGGCTTGGCCGACGATCCGGCGGCGCCAGGGTGGGGTGGTGCCACCGCCGGGGTTGGTGCCGGCACCGGCGCCGAGGCAGCATCGTCCGCGCCCTCGGCCGGGGGCGGCCGCGCGGCCGGGAGCCCCCCGGTGCCCGGGGGAGCAACTGGCGCAGGAGAGGGAGGTACCAGAGCCGGAGACGAGGGAGGACTGGAGGCGGTGACCGGCGGCAGAGACAGCTCCTCCGGCAGGGTCGAGCCGCCGCCGACCGGCGCGAGCGCCGGCGACGATCCGACCAGCTGCGGCGACGGCGCCAGAAGGGGACTACCCCCGGGAGGGAGGGCAGGCGGGACCCCGGCGGGGAGGCCCGGCGAGCCGAGCCCCGTGGTCAGCCCGCCACCAAGAACCGTGCCGGGGGGAGCCGAAGAGGTGGCGGCGGCGGCGGTGGCGGCGGCAGCCGCAGCCGCAGCAGCCGCCGCGGTGGCCGCCGCGGTGGCCGCCGCCGCCGACGACGGAACCGCCGCCCCGGCAATGTCAATGAGCGACCGCAGGCCAAAAAGATGCGGGTCGCTGGCCAACGCAGAGACGCCCTCCTCCGGCAGGACCGCCTGCAGGGGAACATCCAACACCGAGTGGGCCGGACGCGAGACAAAGCAATCGGCCAGGGTGAAGGCGCCGGTGGCGGAGGCGGCCGCCGGGCCGCCAGGGCCCGACACACCGCCAGGCGGATGCCCGGCCCCGGTCAGCGACGCGATCACCGACGAAGCAGCCAGAGCATCCGGCCCCGAGGAGTCGGCCAACTTGCGCAGGAGCTCCAACGCCCGCTCGTCGCTGTCCAATGCAGCCAGCAAGTCCTCCAGATCCACCCCGGACAGGGCATACTGTAGCTCGGCCAGGCGGATGAGCCGGTCGATGCGCTCCAACTCCCACTGGAGAAGCAGCGTGCGGAACTCCGCCGCCCGGAGCTCGCATTCCATGCCCAGCTCTTCGCGGAAGGCGATGCCCAGCCGCTGCGAGCGCGAGGCATTGGCTTTGGCCGTGTCGGCCGCGGCCCAGGTGGCGGCCGCCGCCGCACGGGCCTCCGCCTCGAAGGGCCCGATGAAGGGGACCAAGTCCGCCGGCGTGGCCGGCAAAGGGGGGAGCAGGCTCGCAAGCAAGTCCTCCGCTTGGGAGGGGGGGACAGGAGCCGTGGCCGGGGCCGCGGCCGCGGCCGCGGCCGACGCCGGGGGCGAGGGGCGCCGTGACATGCTGCCGCGGCTGGGCGACGAGGGCGCCGAAGAGCCGATCGACCGGCTGAGCGAGGCCCGCCGGTCGGCCGCCGACGCCAAGGGCCCCCCACCGCTGACCAGGTCGTCGGTGGAGAGATCGCGGCTGCCGGTGCGCGAGTGCCGCCGGGAGACACCGGCTCCCGGCGTGGCCGCCACCCCGGCCGGGGTCGGGACCGAGCCCAGCCCCGGCGACCGAGGAGGCGTCGAGGTGAGCCCCGGCGAGGGGGAGTGCGGGCGCGAGGGCCGGGCCGATCGGGACCCGGCGCCCGCGGGACCCATGGCCGCCGGGCTCCCCCCCTGAGAGGGGAGATATGACAGGTCCGGCGCCACGGCCGGCAGCTGGGGCGAGGGGGATGTGAAGGAAGCGGCCGAGGCCGGGGTCGGGACTGGAGGTGGCGAGGATGGCCGTGCCCCCCCGGCTGGGGGAACCCCCGGTCCGGGTACGGAGGCCGGCGCGAAGGAAGCCGGCGCAAAGGAAGCCGGCGCAAAGGACACCGGCGCAAAGGACACCGGCGCCACCGAGGCCGGCGCGAAGGACACCGGCGCCACCGAGGCCGGCGCAAAGGAAGTCGGCAGAACCGGCGAGCTGACCAGCGACGAGGAGGAGGAGGTGGAGGAAGACAGCGGGGGTGCCGGGGGCAAGTCGACCGGGCCCCCGCCAAAGGGCCCGGGCGAGTGGCCAGCCGGCGGCCCCGGCGGCGGGGAGAGGCTGCCAGCGCGGCCGGGCCCACGCCGCAGATCGAACGGGTCGCCACCGGCCGGCAAGTCCCCACCGCGGTCGTGGCGATCGTAACGGTCCCGCTCGTAGCGGTGGTCGCGATCGCGCTCACGGTCGCGATCTCGGTCATGCAGCCGATCGCGCTCGCGGTCCCGGCGATCCCGGTCGCGGAAGTCCCGGCCATCACGGTCGTAGGGGCGCTCCGAGCCGCGCGGGTCGAACCGGCGATCTCGCGGGTCCGGGATGCTTGGCCGCCGGTCGCGCGGGTCGACCGGCCGCCGGTCGCGCGGGTCGACCGGCCGCCGGTCACGGAAGTCCCGGTCGGCGCCACGCGGGTCGACCACCGGCCCGGGGCGCCGATCGCCGCCAAGGGCCCCGCCGAGGCGCCGGTCGCGCGGGTCAACAAGTCGGCCCGACCCCCCGGCGGCCGATGAGCGTAAGTCCAGGCGGCCCTCATAGCGGGCGTGGTCATCTTCTCGCGGGGGGGGGGGGGGGGACAGGGAGCGCGGGACAGACGGGCGGGAGGGCGGTGAGCATGTTGCCGGCGGGAGATGACACCACCGCCGAAGCAAAGGAGGGGGAGGGGGAGAGAGAGAGAACCAGGAGAGGGGCGAGGGAAATGGGAGAGCGCCCGGCCGAGAGGCACGGGCAGGTGGTGACGCACCGGGCCCAAGGACGGAGCCGAATTGCGAGGAAAGCCCGGGGATGGGAGCCGGCCCTGGGGACCGGTCACGATGATAGGCCCCGGCCGCACCGGGAGGGGCTTTCACCACGGAGGCGATGATCGGCCCGGCCGGGCGGTGATGATGATGATGATGATGGTGGTGGTGGAGGGGATGGCTGGCGATGCTGGGCACATGGTGGGACCCATCGTCGCCGGTTAGGCTGAGGTCCCGGAGGAACACCCGGAAGGAGCCGAGGTAACGCTCGGAGAGGACTTGCGTCAGGGCATCCACCTTGGACAGGGCCCCGGGGGTGGCGCCGGCGACCGGCGGCAGCGGCGGCGGGTGGTCCTCCAGCGAGGCGCCGAGGTCCAGTGAGGTGACGAAGTTGTGCAGCTGCTCCGGGGTGACGGCCGCCCCGTCGGACGGATCGCCATGCAGCGAGGAAGACCCGCCGCTGCCGAAGGGGATCGGGTCGAAGTAGTCGTCCATCTCGTCGGACGAGTCGTAGTCCACCGGGGGCGGGGTGATCAGAAAGAGGGGGACATCCTGCAATGTAGGCGGCAGCGGGTAGGCCACCCCCTGCTCCGGGATGTACAGGCTGTCATCCTGCGGAGGGTGGTGGATGGGTGAATGTGCGCCCGGTGTCAGCAGGGAGCGGCAACAGAAGAGGGAGGGGGGAGGGGGGGGGAGAGGGCAAGGATGGAAGCGGAGGCGGCGCACTGCAGGGGGCGGCGATAGGCCGGGACGTTGTGTCGACCCGGAACCCGACTCACTGGTGCCCACATGTGAGGAGACGTGTTCGCGGATGACCGCCTGGAAGCGACGGAAGAGCCCGGGCGAGCAGAAGGAGGGGGTCGCCAGCGAGAAGGAGGCCGGCACGGGGGAGGACATCTGGCGGCAGGAGGAGGGGCGGTGTAGTCGATGACAATCGCAAGGACATGGGGTAAGTGAATGGACGGGTGGCGGACGGGCGGACGGGTGGCGGACGGGCGGACAGACAGCCGGGCCACCCGGCTGGCCAGGGGGAGAGGAGGACAAGGGGCGCACCAGGAATGGGGGCTCACTCGAGGGGAAGGAGGAAGGGAATCAAGGAACTCGAGGGGGGCGGCTCAAGTCGGGGTCGGGCATGGAGAAGGGGTAGGTCGGGACGCCGGGGGGGACGGCCGGTATGGCAGACGGGAGCGAGGCGGTCGGAGAGACGGACGGCCAGCCGCATGCGAGGCGTGGGAGGGAGGCGGCGAAGAGAGGAAGGAAGGGGAGGAGGGAGGGGGGACGGCACGGCCGGCGAGCTTCTCTCCCTTAGACTTGGGCTGAACAGACGACAAGAGGGAAGAGCGGATAACAAGGAAGGAAGGGGGGG